TGGCGCAATTCTAGAAGTCTAAAAAAGTTAGTTTTTCCTCTTCTTCTTGGTCTTGGCTGAACTGCCATTGTCCTCCTTTGCCTTATTCTCTTCCGCCTCCGCGATGACAGCCTCTGTGGTCTCAGCACGTGCGGGACAATACTTGGAGTACTCCATGGTGTACTCGCCCTTGCCCTCAGTCAGACTTCGCAGCTCGCCGGCGTATCCAAACATCTCATTCAGGGGAACCTTAAAGGGTATGGTGAATGGAGATGCGTTAGAGGGAGACAGGAGAAAAAGACGGTTTCCATATCCTACAAACAAAACGGCCTGGTGCCAGTGCATATTTTGGGGAAGGGAGCATTGAGTGTAAGAAACTAGCTAACATTTCAGGCGATGTAAGCGGGAGATAGCATTGCCGTCAAGGATAAGGGAGACTGGAATGGCCATTTCTGGCTCATTGGCCGACGTCAATCAGTCATACCCAGACCCGAGTGGTGTCCCGCCCGAGCCTCGGGCTTGCGATCTTTTTGATCAGAGTCGCGAGTTCGAGGCTTGGGTGGAACAGCACTTGCGTCTGGGTATGACTGGCTGACGACGGCTAATGAGCCAGAAATGACCATTACAGTTTCCTTTACCTTTGCCGACAATACGATCTGCCTATACTACCTGCTGCTACGGCTGTCAGAGCTTCAGTCGAGACCCAAGGCAGAGCGGGACAGATGAGCCCCATTAGTGGTCGGTAGAACCTTCATCAATGATTTACGAGGGTTCGTACTGCTATGCAGTCCCCGTTTAGGAGAACATGCATGACAGGTAGTTTGGAGATTGTAGGAACGGGGAGAGGTGCGGATTGGTTGAATGAACTGCTAAATCCGAAGCATAGGCGATTTCGTGGATAATTAGGTTAAAGTGAAATTCATGCGCTGAAAATCGACGTGAAGACACACACACTACTTGAGTAGTACATTCTTCATGAATGTGATTTGAGCACATGGCTGGGAAGCCTATCAACTAATAGTCAACAGACGGTCGTGTAAGAATTAAATGGGGGGTTCGGTTTCATGCTTGTCGGTACGGGCCCCCTGATTCCAGTTGCAAGTAATGTGAATGATTTCGGCCAATGCGTTACGAGTCTCCGCGCACATTGTGTTACGATTCAGGAGAGCACCGAGGACCTACTCCCGTAACCATCAAGACAAGATCCTGCAGTATAGTACTGGTGGTCAACAGATCAATCGCAGACATGTGGACCTACACCCACATCGCCAATGAGCCAAAATACAATATTTAGATAAGTATACTAATCGTGATGAGTGAGTAGTCGTGTATGCTTACTATTCCTTACATCATCCCCGGAAGAGGAAGAAGTAGAGACGATTTCTGAGACCAAAGTGTATTCTGGCTGACGGTTCAAAAGCTCGATCGCCTCCTTCGTCAGAGTAAAGAGGGTGGAAACGCTCACGAGACACAAAAA